CGTCACTGAAACTACCAGACTGCTTCTGCCTTTTCTTTTGCAGCTTGTGCGAACAACAATTGCTATGTTTCGTTCATTATTAAAAGCCTGGGACCGGACGGACATGGCGAAATCAAAAAGTGACTCAGTGAGTTTCATTTTTAATATTTATCTAATTATACTGTTCCATTGAACTATTCTTGGCGTGTTTCCATATGTCTCCTTCTACATAGAAGCATCTGCTCTATAGTCTTAAACGAGTTCTTGTATGTGGCGTAGCACGTATGAGTAGCGAAAAGAAAAACTAACGTTAAAATATGTTTTAGGATAATGTAATGTTGACCAATTCCAAGCCAATCATTCCCGAAACCCGAGAACTACCCTTGTAGAATTTCCTTTGTGGACTTTGGGCTACCCATGTACGCTCCATAATGGCGCATTTAGAGAGGTAGATGCGAGCGAGCGCATGTCCGCGCGAGAAAATAACAATACAGCCATGGTGCGCTTGAAGTCGGAGGTGTGACGATCGCACTTGCAAACGTTATTCAGTGATTCACCATGCTGAGCTGTGATGGGTAATAGTGGGGCAGAGAGCCGTCAATGGATAAAACACATTTAATGTTTCAAAACTAGCGCAAAGCGCGTCGATGCACGAGGCACGTGCAACGTGCAGCCCTTGGGAAGATCATGGCGGCCCAGCCCAGCACAGAGCTAGATTTCAGACGCCATGCTCTTCCCAGAAGTGGCGCACGGCCCGTGTCTCGAGCATTTTCACAACAATAAACGGCGACACTTCCCCAGGATAGAGGGACTTTATCGATGAGTGGATAGCAGCGCCACCCTGCATCGCAGGGAATATAAGGTTAAGGGGGAGACAGGTCTATCTCAAGCTATGGGGAAACATAACTTCAAAAGAATCTCAATAATGACCTCAGTGACAACTTTCAAACTTGTTAGATAATGTGCATGAAATATTTATGAAGGTCTTCCAGCTCTTCTATTCCACGTTACCTCACAGATATATTTTTTAAAAATTATAGAAGTGTGGCTCGTTTGCCCATAGGTTAACATGCAGTAAGCACAAAATGTTTTGTTTTTTAAAAATAGTTTAACATATCAAAACCAAATTTGCTTTTCAAGGGGATCTAGAAAAATATTTCTAGCATTTTTTTTCAGTTTTTATTGTGAGGTTAAATATCATAACTATCGCTTATCTTATGAAGATTTTGGGCTTAAAGTATTAGTTCAGAAGTCTCCACCAGGTGGCGCAACGCGTCCAAGGAGGTTTTGAGCCAGCTCCTTTTGCTTGTATTTTGAAGCGGAGAGCGCTCCTTGGCGGAGCTTCACTTCTTGACGTCATATTGATCATATCACGCCCGCTCTTTTCTCTCTCTCTCTTTCTTTCTCTCTTTTGTTCGGGCGCTCGCTCGGCGCTGGCACCGCGTGTTGCTTCCAGCAGACCACGGCTGCCATGTTTTCCCGCCGCGCTGAATTGCCGCCGCCGGCTTGGGTGGTTTGGCGGGCTCCGGGGCCCGGCGTCGCGGCGACACGAGTTTGTCGTGCCGCGTGTGCGCGTTTTTTAGTGTCGTGTCTGCGTAAACAAGTGGTTTCTCTGCAGTGCCCGAATAACTGAAACTACAGGTAAGAAAAATTTGCTCATGTATTCTCGCACTTTCAGTGCTACGAGTGGTTCGCAGAAAATGTGGTAATGTACAGGGCGCATTTCTTAGCTGCAGTAAGTTTGTCAACTCCGTCCTGGCTCCACTAGGAACTGGGTGCTTGTGCGGATATGCGGCTAATCAACAAATATATTTTAATTATCTTTTGTAGGAATTGTAATGATTATGCTTCATAAGCTTTAGAGGGAATATTGCATTTACAAAATTGAAGCCCAGCCCTGATATTCTCCAACCTTACGCTGCAATAAACGCAACAGAAGTCGCAACGTGTACTAAAGGTCAAATTATTTGACGTGAGTGTCGCTCTTCCCCCAATTTGTAGTTTTGGTCTGAATCAGCTTGTAGGAGGGAATTAACTTGGCCGGTGGCGCCCGGCAATATTGTGTGTTTATTTCAGCGTGTGCTTAGAGCATGCATCGGGGTCCGCTTTCAATTTTGTAAACGTGCTAGGCGCTCCAGAGTCAATAAAATTTAATAACAACCGATCTTAGCAGCCGGTTCAACTACGCCTTAGCTACGCTGCGATGCATGGGGGGAACTTTAGTCTTTCTGCACGTACGACTACCCCGCTACGGGTATTCGCCAGCAGAGCATAAGCTGCCGTGAATAACCTTGTGCACAGTAGCCTTCTTTCTTCAAACTAAAGTTATGGCGGTGTCACGCGTTCGTCGATCTGCTGGTGAGAACATTGTTCCCAGTGACAGCCACAGACTGATGGCAAAATTGGGTGTCTCAAGACTGATCCATTTTCGGAGTCTTTTTTGTCGCCTAGAAGTAAGTCTGACCACGTTTGCAGTGATGGGAGACGCGGGCTGCAGCTCTCTCACTGAGTTGGCACGAGTTTCAGCCGAACGCTGGTGCAGCAATCGAGCCCAGTCAGTGGCCGCGATCTTCCTTCTAGGCGGTGTTGGGCGATGAGGCCTTAGCACTACCCCCCCCCCCCTCCCCCCACCTTCTTTTCCTGCCTACATGCGTGCTGACGCGTATTTAACAATATTGTGCGAGAATATCGATGCTCGTCCTATCATGGAAGCCTTTTAGCAATTCTTTAAAGGGGCCGAATAACATAACAGTAATGTATGATTTTGAAGATTATAGAAGATTTTATTGACTTATTGACTTCAATTTTATATTTCAGCGATAGAAAACAACATGGCAAAGATCAAACCTGCGCTCAGTAGGCGAAGGAAAGCGAGTTCAAACTTTCGAAGGCTGCACGTGATCGATGGAAACGAAGAAGAGCTCCTCAACAAAGGTACTTCGTGCTGATCATTGACATTCGTTTTTTTCAAATAGGAGACAAACTAGATGGCTCCACTAAACGTAGAATATCTGCAATTACGCAGTCTCTGACAGAAGTTAGAATGCGACCTGATTCCCCATACCAGATGTTTAATTTTAGTTCAACCAAATTTAAAAGAAAAAATGTAAAGCCTGTCCTCGTCCTAGCGCTATTTGTAATTTAATTATGTGTAACCAACTAGCCCGCCAGAATGTTTTAATGTAAAGCAGTTTTATTTGGTAACTTTTCATTTTTCAATTACCTAACCGGCTTCGCAAACTTGCTTGTCCATTTAAATTCTAACCAGATAACCATTTAAATTCTAACTTTTTAAGGACATATGTCTAAGAGCAAGCAGAGCCCATACAGCTACACTAATATTTGTTAGGTTTTAGAGGTACTTGGTGATTTTTTATAGAGCTTTAGCTAATTCGTGACGACCGGTGAATCCCAAATGAGGCGCACGTTACGCCGTCTGCGAGTATCGTGAGAGTGTATAAACAAAGGAAATGTAGTTCTTGCTACATTTGAATGTGATGCCTGGATACCAACACAACCGATTAACAAACGCTATGGTGATTAATCAGGTTTAAATTGTCGATTGATACCCTCTTCTAGTTTAAATGTTTCTTTTATCTCAAGTTAGTCCACGTTTTTTAATCACTTTGAACTTACTACTGAAAGATACTTAATTTGTGGACTCGCTGATCGAGAAAATTTTAACGGTCGGAGCGATTTGGCTAAAATATTGCTTTATTTTTTTAGGAACTCCAATGCTCCAAATGTGGTGGTCAAAGCGGCCTGCCCCCAACCAGTACTTCATGGTAAAAGAATAGTAGCCAACCTGCAAGCAATGCTCAACAACCATGCGGCGGCTATGTTAAATCACTCGCAGAGTTGCGCATTTTGTGGTGAATTAGAGTTCGTCAAAGAAACTCGGATTGGACTAGAAAGCGTTCTTGAGTACAGGTGCACAAAAAAACCGCTCTGCACGGCAAACCATATGTTGAAGACTGACAATGACGAAGAGACAAGCGTCAACCTGGATTTCGTTCGCGGCTCGCTTGCAATTGGCATTGGATTTTTCTCAAGCAAACGAGCTTTGTGCAGCCTCTTACATTCCATTCATGCCGCAGGACTTGTTTAAAGACTGCGAAGAGCGCTTAGCACGCGATATCTGGCACACACTGCTATCGTCAATGCGGGAGGCTGCTGCTGAAGAGATCGTACTAGCCCGAGAGCGTGGTGAAAGTCCAGACGAGGAGGGCTTTTGGAGGATCCCTGTTGTTGTCGATGGAGGCTGGTCCAAGAGGTCGTACGCACACAACTACAACGCGAACAGCGGGGTCGCCGTGATTGTTGGACGGTATACCCGCAAGATCTTGTACATCGGTGTCCGAAACAAGTTCTGTACGGTATGTTGACTCACTGCGTCGAGGGGTGAGCACCCTAGGCAACACGTTTGCGCTTGCAACTGGGACTCCACATCCACTTCCATGGAAAAAAATATAATTGTGCAAGGGTTCAATGAGAGTGAGCAGCAGTACGGACTCAGATACACCACTTTAATCGGTGATGGCGATAGCAGCGTGTTTGTGTCAGTGCAAAGCGGCGTGAGTTACGGGTACCTCATAAAAAAAGTCGAATGCGCAAACCACGCAGTCAACTGCTACACCTGGAAGCTTTTTACTGTATCAAAAGACGCCAAGAGGTTCGCGGGAAAACAAGGTGTAGAGGTTCGCAAGCTACTTTCAGCACGTAACATTTCTACGCTCAAACGCTTGGCCAGAATAACAATAAGTAAGCACTCGAAAGCTCTTCATGGGCCAGTCACCCGAGAGGGAGTTGAAGCGCTGCGCCATCAGCTTAAAAATGGCCCATACCACGTTTTTGGCATGCACATGAACTGCCCGAGCAGCCTTTGCCCTGTCAAGGCTGGAAATGTAGTCGAGGAAGCAAGCAAAACTCGGAAATGAGAAGCTCTTTGTCAATCTGGAATGATGGTCGAAATTCAGAAGGCCATCGATGTTGTTGCTGACAAATCAGATAGTCTTATTCTTGACATGACCAGCAATGCAGCTGAGAGCTTCATGAGCAGAGTATCATAAACTATCGGGGGGAAACGTGTCGACTTCAGTAAAGGAGGTGGCTACAGGCGCAGATGCCATGTCGCAGCCCTGTCTTACAATATGAGGAGCCCACAGTGGCACTCATACTTTTACAGAAGAAAGTACGGAAGAAGCCGTGGTACGCCAATGGGAAAACTCGTTGAAAGAATCAAGCAGAAAACCACGACCAGGCGGTCGAAAAGGAAACTTCAGTTTCAAGATGCATCGACCTCCTCAAAAGGACCCAAGTTTTCCTGCGAGGCAGATAAGGACTACGGAGACAGTGCACAAACGCCAGACGTGTCCCCAGCTCTGTACGCACTAAAAGAGAAGGAGTTCGTAGAGTCACTTTGTGTAACTCTTGAAAAACAGCCGGAGGTTCAGATAGCCACCAAAGACCAACCAGAAAGCAAGCTCTGGCATGAGGAGAGACGGAAAAGGATCTCTTCAACGAAATTTTATGATGTATGCAGGAAGCACAAAGCTGGGTTCAAGTTTGAGAGCGTGGTAAATTCGATTCTTTACCCAAAACCGATAAACACGCCGGACTTGGAGTATGGTCGAAGTCATGAGAAAACCGCAGTGGAGGCCTACAAAAAATCGCACTCTAATATCAGAGTACAGGAATGTGGCCTGTTTATTTCTCTCGACATGCCGTTCCTTTGCGCAACACCAGACAGACTCCTCAATGATGATGGCGTGCTCGAGGTCAAGTGCCCACGAAGTGCTCTCGGGTATCCCACGCTAGAGGAAACTTCTAAACACCATAACATTGCCATCAAGGTTTGTAAGAAGAAAGGTTCTCTTAGTCTCCGACCCACCCATCGGTATTACTACCAAATTCAAGGGCAGTTGCATGCGACCGAGCGAGACTACTGCGACTTTTTTGTCTGGTCCCCGAAAGACACTTTCCTTCAGAGGATAACGAGAGATGGCTCCTTTGGGCAAAGCTGTGTGGAGCAGTTGAGGCCGTTTTATTTCGGTTATCTTCTTCCAGAGATTCTGGATTCACGAGTAGCAAGAAACATGCCTCTGAGATCTGAGCCCGTCACTAACGAGATTGAGGAATTTTAATTTTTGAAGTGCTCAAATCAAAGCCCTGTCTCCCACCATCCCACTATACTGCGCCGCTGGACTCTGCTCCTGAGCGATGTGATATGTTTGTGTTTCATCATGGAGATGCCGATGTCACTTGTGTATTATACAGTTCCATATGCACATTCTTGCTTTACGATATACTCAATTTTTGTACCACATGCATTTTGCTTTTTCATGCGCTTAAAACCTCTCTAGTGATTATTTGATAATTTTGTATTTCCATAAGATTGAATTTTATCTATAATATGCACGTTGCAATAATAATATGTACACTCTACCGCTCCCCTATCCTTTGTGCCTTTTTTCTTCCCACCTCATTGCTGTAAATATTGAGTGTTTTGTAGCTTTTGGGCATATTAAGTATCATACTATACTCCTCGCAATGTTTATGCCTCATACGATTCTTGTACTCTGGTTTGCTTGAATCCAAATAAATATATTGGAAAAGTTCTTCATTTTCTTGACATTTGCTCATTGCCGAAGTTTCTCCAGTAAAAAACTCGGAAAGGGCGTAAAAATGCCCGTCCGATTGGTGCATAAAAATGAGTATTTGGTATGAACAGAAGGGGCTTGCTGCCTCTTTTCGTACGTTGTGACTCGAGCGCGTAACCAGGAGCGTAGGGAGGTTGGTGCATCCTGATAACAGATATGTTCGGCAATCGTGTAATCCCGAGCGATTTGTCTGCATAAACGTGTCTTGTGCGCGGAGCATGTACAAGTAGATTAATGCTACTCCTTGGAGTTCAAGGGCAATACTGAGACTAAACATTAGAAGCGTTGAGCTTCTAACGTTTAGTTTTGCCCGCGTCTGATGTGCTATTTGCATTTATATTTACGACAGATTTATTTCGGGAATGACACGACCTTGTGGACGTCACATTCTAAAACAATGTGAAGCCCTAATGTATTTGCCATTATTTCTAGGTTCTAGTGACATATTTGTATTCTGATCATCCCATAATTTGAATCTGCGCGATATTTTTCTCGATGTCGCAGAGCCACGCTTGTTTTTGACAAAGACGTCTTCATATCCATAATAATATTACACGCATATCCGGTAACTGTATATTATTAATTAGTACAGTATTTTTAATGTGTTCTAGGTTTTGTCTCGAAATCGCTACTAGCAAGGGCTTCTTGCAAATTGGTGGGACTGTCGCAGAGCCGCACCAATGGTGGTTTTAGCCAAAGAGCGACAAGAGCCGCGCTACTTTTTGGCAAAAATTGCAGCGTGTGAAATGTGCTTGACCCTCGAGCGCGAACAGAGAGCGCGCGCTTCCTGAACTCGGGGTTCTCCCGCGCCCCGTCGAAAAGAACCACCTGCGAAACGACTTCCTCCAACGACGTCTTGCAACTGCCTGCCCCGCCGCCCGGCACCCGACGACACCGCCGACACCGCCGCGACGAGGGAGAGGGGCAGAGGTGGGTGAGCGTGTAAGCCACACCCGACGCCACTGATTGGTTTTCCCCGGCGAGAGACGAAACGTCACAGCCGTTTGAAGACAGCGACGTTTCAGCGCCATCTAGGGGGAGAAGCGAACATGCGGGGGCGACCTGTCTCCTCCTTAAGAAGAAGTACACAGAGGGACTTCACAAATCCACCTTAGCTTCCCTGCAGCATATCTTCATAGCGTCGAGCTCAATGTGCCGTGGTCGATTTTGTTATGGCTAACAAGTAAATATTTATCATGCGGCACTTCACGATTGTGGTCAACGGTGAAGAAATTTTTCTTCTTTAGTGTCGACAGCACATCGGAGTGCATTGTGGCGTTGCCGCGAGCATATCCATGTTAACGCTGCGTGCTGAACAGTCTTGCCCTTTTCTCCAACTGGAAGAAGCGAGCGATTGCCACACCTCCCCTTCTACAAGATTAAAGAAAGAATAAACATGTAAAATGAAGGCACAACCACACCTTTCAACTGGCAACACGCATAAAGAAATTCCAAGAGCTAGCAACTGATTAAATGCGGTAAAATTCAGGAAAGAGAAAGTAACTAAGAGAGGAAGGAGGAAAGAGACGATACAATAAAACGCTAAGTCAGGTCGACAGACTCATCTCTGATTTGAGGAATTTAACTCCCCTTCTAGCTCACCATAATACAGCTCACCGAAGCTGCTCCAGATCTACCAAAGCAATAGACCGATCTCACCTAGTGCTCGCCGCAAGCTTGAAGTCACCACAACGTACTCAACGCGCGCACATCTCCAGCGTGGTTAACGCACGTACAAAAGGACAAAAGTTCCTTCTGCGCATTATGACAGAGTTGCTTAGCCAGGCTGTCGGGTGAAATTCGTCTATACTCCACCAGTAGTGCTGGGTGCAATACTCAGGTGTCGAGCATAAAGAGGCCACTATCTAGCTTAGCAACGCTTCGTGGTGCGTACAAGGAAAGGGTTCGTAGAATTAGCTTCGAGCTGTGCAACATTCTTACATTTAGCTTGAAGCTGTCAATCCCGGGAAGCAAATTTGATCGCTTTTTGAATACCACCAGTTTGATCAAAGCCGCCATTTACGGCAGGTATTGTTTATGCTAAGCTTCCCCGTATGGGTTTCAAAAACAAGCCGATGATAAGAATAAATTCCGTAAATATTATTTTTATTTTGTATCAAAGGTCATTCGTTGTGACCTTAAAAAAATTTATATTTCTGGTTGTCGTGTTGAGCTATCCCGGGGAATAAAATTTGGAAAAATCGACAGGCCTTAAAGGGGCGATGTAAAGGCGTGTGTATTTTTCGTATATGCATATTAGTATTATTATTTAAAATGCATCTCACGCAATGAGCATTAGTCTTTTTTTTTTTTTCCTACTCGTTGGCAGTTCCTGAAAAAGATCGAGAAAAATTAGCACCGCTCACCTTATCAACTCTCAGCTCGAACAAAGTCTGCAAAGTCTGCAAGGGCTACACGTTGCACGTGCCTCGTGCATCGACGCACCTTGCGTTACTTTTGAAACATTAAGGCATCAGCCCGCCTTACGGACGAGCGCGGCGAAACCGGTGGAGCGTTGGATACACAAAACCCTGAGGTGGAAAGCGATTTTATTGTGGTTTTTATAGTAAACATTATGTTTGCGCAATTCTTGTCGCAAAAAAAGAGCGCCATTGAAAAGATGTCCTCCTCCGTTTCCCGTGTAGGCGTTGACTCTTGTCGCGCTAGGAACGCTATCTGTTCTTATCTGATCACGTACCGGCACAAAGAAGAGCCGTTTTGGAACACCGCTCTTCCGTTGAGCTTGTCAACGGATAGATCTAAAAACGATGATCCACACACTCGGCAAAACAGGCGTGCGTCTTCGTACCTCCACAACAGGCGGTGTAGGTGCCTGGAGGCATAGAAAAATAATTTTCTTGTCTTGATATGCGCAGGAAAAAAAATGTCATTACGAGAAATCTGCGGAGATGGCCATGATTGATAAGGCTATTGCTTACACAATGCCAAAGATGTTTATAATGGATAGGGACGCTTTCAGTACGATGGTGCTCCATAGCGATCTTGGTGCGACTGGCTTAGAACGACCCTCTCGAAGCTTTGAAGATATAAAGGGGTCGAAATGCCAATTGTCGTGGCAACGGACTCCAATCAACCAATAAATTTGCGAGGTTCGGTCGTTTGTATTTTAGTATATATTTGTATCAGAGGAGCAGGCAGGGTGGCAATTGCGCTATTTCCCCAAAACGCTGTGGCTTCACATGTGACCACAGTACAAGCTGCATTGAAACATCAGGACTTTTAGATTCCTCCAGAAAGCCCTGATCTATTTTTGTCCGAGTTCAGAGGGGTGCAAGGGTTGTGTAGCAGCAGCGCAGAACCAAACCAGCCACCCGGTTTGGACAAGCGCTGTGACCGGCTTCCGGAGTGGGAGCACAGGGCATTCACAGGGCTGTGCATCTGTTGGCTCTCTTTTCGCCGCAGGACGTAGTACTCTACATTTAATTTTGGGCGCTATAATAAGATCATTCGAGTTTATATAGTTTTAAACTATACAAAATATTTTTTATATTAATATTTCTTAATTTGAGTGTACTGGAAATGTTTCCAGTACGAAACGCAGTTATGTTTGCTTTTTTAACTGTTATTGTCCGCTTTCGATAGTTTCCATAAATGTTCGTATCCTTCGACTGCGTACGCTACGATAGAATTCACATTCATTTGGCCATAGTAAAGTTGTTTCAAGTTTCTCGAGTTTCGCATTGTGATAAGAGGTTCGCGGAATCAGGATGATTTTGCATCAGGATTTTCTGGCGGCAGCGTGCGCTAGCCAGCACTTCAACTACGAAGCACTGACGGGAGCGTCGCCTAGTCCAGAACAGTTATCGACAGTTAACTTTGAAATCAAAGTTGAAGCGTTTAGACTCATTCTCAATAGAGATCCACGTGAAACTACATAGCCAGGGCCGACCCTGAGTGTTCCTTTCCCAGGACTGTTAAGGCCGGTTCACACATGCAGCGAAGCGCTGATGTAGCGCTGCTCACGTGCCGTCAGCTACTTATCGTCTGCCACGAGCAACAGTTTTGGCGGTGCGATACAAAGCTGGTGAACGCCCCCGTCAGCATGGGCTGAGCGCGAGGTCAGCGCTATGTTTGTAGCGCTCCGCTGCATGTGTGAACAGGCCTTTAGTGGCCAGCCATATATAACTGCGGCAAAAGCATGTTATGACATGCTCAGCTACGAGTGCATGCGCGTCCCGTACTAAACCACAGGCCTCCGCAATGTATCGGAGTCGTCAGTCTGCATCAGAGAGATGCTCTAGGCGAGGCACTCAGGAGTGTATTACTCTTTCTTTGTCTTTCAAGAAGCTTATGAAGATATCATATACCCACGTAGCATCAAACACAGCAATATACGTGAGCCAATCCGCCAGCACTCACAACAAAAACCCATACCTGCGATAGCATGTCCGTAAGATATTCTCAAAATATAACATTTGAGCTAATTCCTACCCTCCGTTAGGATCTCGCTTCTGCGTCCATCATCGGTAAAGTAGTTTGAGATAAAATGTTACATCTGTCTTGGCGGTACTGTTAAACATCGGAATCATTTCAACGAGAGCTCCCATAAATGGCACCGCGACCAAACACAGGGGAAAAGTATCCTCTGCATCTGCAGGGACGTTGAACCTTCTTCGGTGCCGGTGCAAGATTTTGAAGAACTGTTTCTGAATTCGTTCAGAACTGGGA